TTTACATTCAGATCCTCTTTTACAAGGCTGGGCTTGGGAATTTCAGCCCAGCCAAGAGCCATCTTCCCATCCATTAAGGTTTCGTGACAGCAGGTAACAATACCACTTCAAAAGGACAGAGTTGCACCATTTCCCCCCTCCCCAAATTAAACTCTCTGACAGCATCATCTGAGCAAAACATAGGGAGAAACAGCTGCCTTTTTTCTTTGCAAGACTTATCTGCATCCACATCCCAATGGGCCCATTTTGGGGCGCAAAGGCAGAGCTGAGCCCAGTGGCTACTGCTGCTTTTTGGGCACTGCAAGGCTGTTTGCTCAGAGACCTTTGCAGTTGCATTTTAGCTGCCTCACCCCCCAAGAGGAGCTGAAGATACTCTGCTTTATCAGCCTGCTGCTGACCTCTTACCCTGCATCAGGCCAGCGAAGGCTGGATCATGTCTTGGCTAATCACTGTGGCTGCAGAGCCCTAAAGGTCTGCATCTACCGTGGGATGCGGTGAGCTCACTCTCTCAGGCTGCCTTGCTTCCAGCCCTTTATCCCCCCTTTCTTTTCTCCTCTCTGCTGCCTCAGTCTCACGTTTCTCACATCTTTATTTCCACGTCTCCTGCCACCTCTCACACATCTTGTGCATCTTCCCCATCTCCTCCCTCACAGGGCGCAGGTTGCTCTGTGCTGCTGCCGTGCTCGTGTGTGGTCCTCCACCTGGGAGGAAAAGAGCCCATCAGTGTGACTTTGTCTCTCCTGTCTGGGCACCACTTAGTGATAACAATAACAGTCAGAGGAAGGTCTCTTGCGAGGGGAGATCAAACAGGAGGTGGAATGTCGGGTTGGACAGCGCTGGGAAGGCAGCCCAGGAGGTGCCAGTGTGCTGCAATGGCAGGGAAGGAGGCTTTTCATGCCTGTCTTTCCAAATATCTTTTCTTTCTGCAGGAAATATGGAGAGAAATAAATAAATCTGATATCATTTTAGGTTTTTATAAGCAGTTAAGTGAATATAAGTCTGCAAACCTGAAGCTATGCGCCCTAGTCTCTACCTGCAGTTCCTTTTTACTGCTTATTTCTCCCAGCAACATCAAGGTAAAAACTTTTCTTTCTAAGACTCCTTCTGCCAAACCCATCTAACTACAGAGCAAGCTTCAGCACTCACAGACCCCTCACCTGAGTTAGGAGCTCACGCTGCTCCGGGTTTTGGATAGTGAAGCCTCCCAGTTTCCAGTGAAATCTTTTAGGTGACTATTGGAGGAGCTGCAGTCCTCCTGTGCCACCCCAGAACCCTTCAGCCAGCCTGGACAGGATGGGGATATCTTCTCTAAGGGGCTAGTAATGAGTTATAGTGTGATTGAGCTGTGTGGTGTGTTAGTGCACATGGTTGTGCAAGTATTGCAGCTCAGACCTAGGCTATGCCAATGCCCTTATTGCACATAAGGGCCTGAGGCTGATGCCTTGTCCTGTGGTTTGTAAAGCAGCAGAAAACCAGCCCAAATATCCAAAGTCCTTCTCAAACCTCGCTCTGAAGGGCAGGAAAGCCTAATGCTAAGGGATGCAGGGGTACCTGTGGTCATGCCACCAATCCATCTCCTTTCTGTGTCCCAGCCAGCCACTGTGGACTCATCATGCCTTCCATCCCTGTGGTTTTTGGCCCTCCTGAAGTCCCCATATCCTAAAGGACACCCACTGGTGGGCACTGCTGTTGCAGAAATAGCTCCCTGCCTTCAAAGACAGGGAGATTCTCTGGCTGTGAATGGCTCCTAATATGTAAATACTTCCAGGTTTTTAAAGAGTGAAGTAGATTTGGACCTGTGAGAGCCCTTGGGGGACTCTTTCTGATATCTTTTAAGACTTTCTGATATCTTCTTTCCTGTGCTTTCAAGGGGGGTTGTCTAAAGGAGACTGCTCTCATTCCAAGTGATGGGGTCAGTGTTTTAAATACAACTTGACTGATAACTGAATCAATTCACTCTGCTTTGAAAACGCCTCTTTCAGGACTCTTACCAAACCTGTGATTTCCACAGTCCCCTCTCCCCCTGCACTGCTCCATGATGGGTGGCTCTGCATCAGCACCCAGACAAGTGTGGGGTGCAGGGAGCTGCTTTCTCTGCACCAGATCCCTTCCCCAGCACGTGTCAGGTCCTTTTCACCCCACTGATCTCCAAACACACTGCATGGACAGTCAGGGTTAGCATCCTCCCCCTGCCCTGTGTTTTCAGGTGGGGAAACTGAGGCACTTTCAAACTGAGTGATGCGGCTGAGCTCAGTGGGCAGGGAAACAATGCAGACAGAGGCAGAATTTGGCCATTGAAATAAAGGCTGTAGGACACTCCTACAGCTTGTGCTCTTTTCCCCATCTGCCTTTTAGGGCAATGGAGAAGACACAGGTCCACCACAAACACTGATGTGCATGAAATGAGTTATTTCCAATGAGCTCCTTGTGGTGTCAGCCTCTCCCCACGCTGCCCACCACAACAAACCCAACCTTTTGCAATCAAACCCTCCACAGGTGAATGCTAACAGAAAGCCAAAACCCAGGTGAAATCAGGGCTTAGATCCTAGCATTGACCCTGCTTTTGCATAGGCCATGGGGCTGCTGCCATCCTTCTCCAGGCTGCCCGCACTGCAGCCGGGAGGGAGCATCCTGGTCCTTCCCTCCCCATCTCACCATGGGCTGACAGAGATGGATGGCAGCGTGACCAGGAACGTGCTGTCGGGCTCGGGCTTTCCTCCCAGGAGAAAGCTGCAGGCCTTTGAGAGAGCCCCGTGATGAAGATGTAAGAGCAGTGTTTGACACGGAGCTCCCTTGTTGGGGCAGCTGTGGCTCGCGTCAGCCGTCTGCCAGCCGGGTCCCTCACCTAAAAGGGTCGCTGTGCTTCAGGGCTCCTTTTCTGGCTGCAAGAAGTGGTTGGGGGAACACATATTGCAATAGGAGATATGCTTGGGGAAGAGCTGTAAGAGCCATTGTTTGGGGGGGATGAAGTCATGAACTGAAACAGGGGAGGCTCAGGTTAGATAGAAGGAAGAAATCCTTTACTATGAGGGTGCTGAGGCACTGGAATGGGTTGCCCAGAGACGTGGTGAATGCCTCATCCCTGGCAGTGTTCAAGGCCAGGTTGGACAGAGCCTTGGGTGACACGGTCTAGTGTGAGATGTCCTTGCCTGTTGTAGGGGGTTGGTACTGGATGATCTTAAGGTCCTTTCCAACCCAAACCATTCTATGAAAGCAACCAGGAAGACTCATGGGAGGGAAAAATGAGGGAAGAAATGCTCATTCCCCCTGCAATAATAGAAGGATGAGCAATGAGAGACAAACCCCTCCTGGGCAGAGCCCCGCAAGCCTGCACCCGAAGGAGTTAATTCCCCAACCGGTGCACTAAGTGGTCAGCAGCCCAATAAATTATGCCCTGGAAAGACAAACCACAATCATCATTAGTCACGGCTCATTGGCCTGTTAAGGCTCCTCAGTGAAGTTTATCTCTTCCCTCCTGTCCACCGGCAGCCATATTTCATGCTCCGAAAACAGATGACCCCGGGGGTCAGCGAAATGAAAGCCCCATTCAACAGGTCTGCGAAGGACTCGCCACGGAAAGAAACGGCCGAGGTCAAAATAACATTGAGATACGGGCAGCCCTGCAGCCGCTGCCCTCCCGGAGCAGACACACACCACACGCTCAAGTGACCAAGACATGTTAATCCGTTTCAGGATCAGGCAGGGTCAGGCTGGGGCTGGGAGGAACAGTGGCATAATTAGGTGAGGGTGACCTCCATAAAACAGTAATGGGCTTCCAGAGGCACGCCGGCGTGCTCTGCACCGCTCTTCGCAAGATGGGGATGCTAAGAGGGATGGAGGGAGTCATAGAATAGTTAGGGTTGGAAAGAACCTTAAGATCATCCAGTTCCAGTCCCACTGCCATGGGCAGGGACACCTCACACTAAACCATGGCACCCAAGGCTCTGTCCAACCTGGCCTTGAACACTGCCAGGGATGGAGCATTCACAACCTCCCCGGGCAACCCATTCCAGTGCCTCAGCACCTTGACAGGAAAGAATTTCCTCCTTATATCCAATCTAAACTTCCCCTGTTTAAGTTTGAACCTGTTACCCCTTGTCCTGTCACTACAGTCCCTAATGAAGAGTCCCTCCCCAGCACCCCTATAGGCCCCCTTCAGACACTGGAAGCTGCTCTGAGGTCTCCATGCAGCCTTCTCTTCTCCAGGCTAAACAGCCCCAACTTTCCCAGCCTATCATCATATGGGAGGTGCTCCAGTCCCCTGATCATCCTCGTGGCCTCCTCTGGACTTGTTCCAACAGTTCCATGTCCTTTTCGTGTGGAGGACACCAGAACTGCACACAATGCTGCAAGTGAGGTCTCACGAGACCCAAGTATTGTCCCACTCTTTGCAAGATGGGAATGGCCAAGAAGGATGGAGGGGGTCCCGGTATTGTCATGTACAGCCTGGCTTCTCTAGGTGGTAACAGATATTTTGACTCTGGAAGACACGTACCCAGTAGTATAGTTTTCCTCATGCTGGAGGTAAAATTTGGGGCTGAACCCACTTTGACATCCATGTCTCTATAAACAAAGCATTTTCAAACCAGCTCCCCTCGTGCCTCTGAGCTGTGTTTTTGAGCACCATAAATCAGAAGGTGCTGGCTCAGGGCTTTTCCAGCGAGGGAAGCAGCAGAGGAGTGAGGAACAGAGGTAATTCCAGCTAACGTTCCGCTGAGATAACTTCTTTTCAAGACAGCTTGTGGAGATCACGTTTCGAAACAGCTATTTGTCTGCCTATTTATTGCAGCGTGCGTCATGGGGTGGTTGAAAACAAAGCAATAGAGATGATGTGACTGGGGACATTCAGTCTCCCTCCCTCCCTCATTACAGCTGTGCCTGGGCACAGATAATAGCTCTGGTGCAGGTGCAGTGCATCCCAGCCCTGGATCTCTGCCACGGCTGCAGGAGGAGTCTTATAAAGGGAAGGGATGATGAGTAGGGCTGTGTTTTCTCCCTCTCCTCATTGCTGGTTGGAGGTGGAGCAGCTCCTGCCTCTGAGTGCTGTTTGCAGCCAGTGACTTGCAAAGGAGACCTGCAGGATTTGGGTAACCAATGCAGGAGCCCTGGCTGGTGGGGATGGAGGGGAAGGAGAGGTATCCTCCATCTCTGCAAGGCTGGTGTTGGGTCTGTCTCCGCTAGCTCCTGGGGTGCAGGATGGGGTCCGTGTCTCTGCCCACGGAGGCTGGGATGCTCTGCCTGAGGGATTTCAGGCAGCACAAGGATGTGAGGGAGGTATCAGGGAGCTGAGCAAGGGGTGCTTACAGTGGAGGTGTGATGTGGAGTCTCTATCTCTGCCCCAGTATTTATCTGGGGTCCCCCAGCCCTTAACTCTCCTGCTGTGTAGCTCAAATGACTAAAATAAGCAGCGTCATCCCTCTTCCCTCGTGTTTATCTGCCAGGAAAACTTCAAACTAACAAAACCATCTGTTCTAGATAAAAGTTGTGGGGGTTTCCAATGGATTTGTTTTTATTTTTCCAGTTGGAGATGGAAGTCTCTGCTGCACAAACTCATGTTGGGAGAGTTTTCTGCAAAGCCCATATCCCACTTGGAGCTCCAACCTCTATCCCTATTTGCTAAGCCCTCATAAAGACCCTTCTTCTCCTATCTCAGGTTGTGGGGTGGCACCGGGTCTTATCCAAGGAGCTGGGCTCTTGCACTACAAATGCCATTAGCAACCTCCCAACCTGCAGAAGGTCACAGCAGTTGCTTGTGGCAGCCTGGGGAATTGAGCCACGATATCCCACATCCCAAATGAGCATGCCAGCCTCCAGCCCGTGCTTCCTCCCCACTGCCCACCAGCTACTTCAGATGACAACGCACAGTCAGGACAAGGTGTGAACTGACGTGGTATTGATTTGTTTCTAGACAAGGAAGATGAAAATGGATAGCACGGTATGAGCATGAAGGATGTGGAGATGGCAGCAGGTAAGGTCTGTTCTTCACGTCACTCTATTTACAAGCTGGCCAAAAGCAGACCCAGGTGAGCCTGGGAAGTGGGACAGTATGTAATGCATATGGGGCTTTATGCTCCAGTAAATAAGGAAGCCATTAGTTAAGCTGTAATTAGCTTCTTATGGTGGTGGTTCGTGTGCTGCACACAAGCTGGGGATGAGTGCTGCTAGGCTGCTCTGTCTGCATGGAGCACAGCAGAGCCTGTTGTGTGTATCAGACGTGCCTCCCTTTAGTCACCTAAAGTCTATCCTATTTTCTACCTTTCCCTTAAGTCACCTTCCCCTTGCCATTGAATTAAAGCCCATTGGATCAGCTCCTTTGAAATGCCTGCATCAGCAAAACAAAGTGGCAGCAGAGATGGGACCAGGCAGAGCAGGGAGGAGATGCAGGAGGAAGGTGTGAGCAGGGTGACAGGCACGGTGCTGGTGGAAAATTTATAGGCTCGGGCTCTGGGCCCCCTTTTTATTACATTTTACACCGAACAAGCCAGATTGAGTTACCATTGTGTTCTCATCTGCTCTGTCAGGGCTGCGTCCAGATCCAAAGGCTGCAGGGGTGGAAAGAGGGAACCACGGAGATGTCGGTTCTGGCCATCAGCAAATACATCAGGTGTATAAATAAAGAGCAGGCAGTATTTCATAAGCTTAGAGTGGGATTTAGCTGTCCAGGAGAGTCTGGAAGAGAAGGAGCGCAGCTACCATTTCCCCAGCCCCTAGCACTGTATAACTTAGATGAATCTCCACTTCCCTTTTGTCCCTGGGTAACAGAGGCATTTCTAAGCTCTGTTTGCTGGCTTCTCCCTCATCCTTGCCAGCTTTACCAGTGCAGAATGGCTGCTGGCAAAGCTGGAAGTGCAGAAGCGAGCCTGGACAGTGAGATTTTTAATAGCTGGTTTCCAGAATAACAGGCATGCTGTTCTGGAAAGCTCTGGAGTTTGGAATGAGAACTAATGAGGATTTCATGTGGTGATGTACACATGAAGATGCAGAAGAAGGGGAATGCACCTGAGGGCTACTTGCAGCTGGATATGCCTTCTCCTGAGGTGCTCTGGGAGGATGAAATGGGGCATCAGTAGCTGTGTACATGTTTTAATGGCTTCTCACCTTTGAAAGATTGAAGCTGGTGGATGCTGGTAGGCATGGACCTGTGCCCACTGAGTGAGGAAGTGCTGAGCTTCACGAGGGACTGTAGCGATAGGACAGGGGGTGATGGGGTTTAAACTTTAACAGGGGAAATTTAGGTTAGACTCTTTACTGTGAGGATGTCTTTACTGTTTCAACCCAAACCAGGATCATCCTCTGATCTCAGTTTGGTTATGCCAATGTAGACACCGAGCCACCCCACAAGTCCTGTGTTTAATCTTGGGGCTTTCAGCTTTAAGTTGCAATATTTGCTTGAGCTGTAAGACATCTACTCTGCCCTCACCAGCACATGGTGGTAGTAGCTAGTTTAGCTGAAGTACTGCAGCCCTTTTCTGACTGTTACTCCACTTCTACAGACAGAGCTGAGCTTGGCATCCTTGGTAGAGCTTAATATTGCTTCTCCACTTCTAATCTGCCATGGCCTTATTGGAACATCTGCATCCTGGCCTCTTATTAAGGCTTTAGCAAAATAGAAGCATCTAAAGCCTGAATAGTTTTAAATTTGGAAGCAGAGTGGGAGTAGATAGAAGAGAATACATTCCCCTTCACGTAATCATCAGAGGAGGACAGTTCTGAACAATGACCAGATCGTCCTCACACTAATGATGACAGCAATTTCAGACTTATCGCACCCCAGCACTATATTAAGGCACTGAGATTACATTGTTCTCGATTAGCACAACATCTGCTGGAAATCAGCATGGAGAAGGCTGGTGTAGGGGCTAAAAAGCCTTATGGTGGGACAGAGAAAATACTCTCCCATGGGGAGAATAATATCTTTGCCCTTCTGGGTGTTGCTCTGTGCTGATGCTCTGTAGGAACCATAAACATGAGATGCAGGCACTTGCCTCAAGTTGGTGAGGACATCGGTCACTGATATCAGCAGGTCCCAGGCCTGTCCAGCCATGTGGTTTTGGGTGAGTTTCTTCCCTTTTTCTTGCCTATTCCAAGTCTTTTGCATACGAAGACAGGCTGAGAAAGCTGGGGCTGTTCAGCCTGGAGAAGAGAAACTGCGTGGAGACCTCAGAACAGCTTCCAGTGTCTGAAGGGGAGTTACAGGGATGCTGAAGAGGGGCTCTTCATCAGGGGCTGTAGCGATAAGACAAGGGGTGATGGGTTCAAACTGAAACGGGGGAGATTTAGGTTGGATTTAAGGCAGAAGCTCTTCCCTGTGAGGGTGCTGAGGCGCTGGCACAGGGTGCCCAGAGAAGCTGTGGCTGCCCCATCCCTGGCAGTGTCCAAGGCCAGGTTGGACAGAGCCTTGGGTGACATGGTCTAGTGTGAGGTATCCCTGCCTATGACAGGGCTGGAACTGGATGATCTTGAGGTCCTTTCCAACCCAACCCATTCTATGATTGTGGGCACAGCTCCCTGCATGGCACACCAAGTTTAAAGCATGTCACTGCTGTGCTTGCCATGATGCAGGACAAAGACCCCATTTCCTATATTAAAATACTCCCAAGCTGGCTAGTCTCAACACATTCATACCAAAATACTTTGATACATAATGAACCCAGACTGGGGTAGGAACTTTCTGCCCTTTATCCAGCCTTGCACGGAGACCTGCTCTACCCTGAAAGAGCCTCATCTTCCTCGGTTTCCTGAGGAATAAGGAACAAAACTTGTGGATAACTTTAGGAGTGACTCACTGACTTGGTTCCCTGCCTGGCCTGGTTAGTACCTCAACTCCATGGCCCTCCTTGCTTGTAGCTCAGAGGAACATCTCTTTGTATTATATTTGCTGATTCTCATGTTGAGCAGTTGCAGCAGCATTAAGGAGTTTGTTAGAAGCACTGCTTTGCTTTTTAGAGGCCATTTATGTTATCCAGGATGCAGGAATAGTGAACACTGGGGCTGTGAGGGTATTCTGTGGTCTTGTAGCTAAAAATGCTCAAAGGCTCTGAATTATAAAGATCTGGACCTGCAATGGTGGTGGATTTTCTTCTATCTGAAGTATGCAGTTCCAGAAGCTGTGCTGTGCTTCTGAAGGTGATACCTGAGCCTCGCCATTCATCACAGTCCGTGGCAGCCCATGGTTTGAGTTCCTATGGGACATGGATGATCTGGGGGATGAGGAGCGTTATTGCCAGGCATTGTGTTGATGTGTGGCTCTGCACAATAGGTCAGAAATCCAGCTCAGCCTTCTTCAGGCTGCCCTGCTTCTCCTCAGGAATCGCTGACGCTGATCTGCAGAGCCTCAGCTCAAGGAGCTTTCAAAGGACCATTTTAGCAGGCAGTGCAAACCATCCATCAGTGCTCCTGTCTACGCTCAAACTTGCTCCGTTCTGGGTTGCCTTAATTCAGTTATGATGAAACTTAGAGGAACTGCTCCTGACAAATGAGACTTTCTCTAGTGGGTTGCTCCTTTAAACCATTAACACATGCTTAAATCTGCTCAGGACTTGAGAACATTTAAGCCCTCAGAGATCCTTCACTGCTGAAGGCAGCTTCTATTATGCAGGGGATCACTGCTACCCAAGTGTGTGTCAGCGTGAGGGTATCCTTGTCCTGCTCATCCACCCCAAGCATGTTAAGAGAGTTGCATGACAAATGAAAAGCAGCTTGAGGTTATAATAGCAGGATAACTGTTTGTTTATAAGCAGCAGAAGAGGAAGGTGATGGAGAGGTAGAGTGAATGATGCTGACTTAAGACTTCTCCACATGGATCTCGAGGAGCTTTGGCTTTCAAGGAAAAGCCTTGCAATAAGAATAAAGGTTTTAAGCCCCTCCTTCCAGATCAGATGCCTGACATCCATTGCAACTAAGCCTGTCCTCCAAAGAAAGAACCCCCAAGAGTTCTTCCTCCTCCTCCCAACCTTTCCAGCACCAGTTTCCACTGGTGTTGCTGTGACAAGTCTCTCTGGAGGGCACCAAGAGCTCCGATGGCAAATACTCATTAATTGATTCACTGGGACCAAGGAAGCATCCGATCCAATTAGAGATACATAATTTATGCCATCGAACGCAGAGATTGGGACACCATCGATCCAGGGCGAGAAAGGGGCTGACAGCTGTTCTGGTGTCAGGGTTGTGGAACCTGAACTGAGATGATGATCCTTCAGCAGCAGCTGGCGGTGGCAGGGGACCACCAGCCCGAGATGAACCAGCTGAGGTCTCCACACACTGCAGACCCAACCACTTCTGTTCTTTAATCTTGACCACAACAAGGGCTTTGAAGCCCATAGAGCTCCTGAAGGTTTCAGTGCTCTATGTGCCCAGGTACAGCGCAGGTTTGAAGAGGTAACAACCGAAGGCAACTTTTTACCGTGGGACCACACAGCCCAACCACCTTAGTTTTCAGAAAGCCATTGGTCATCCTAGTAAGCCCATATCCTTAGAGTACATCATGCTTGGAGTAAGCCCATACCCTTGGAGGAGGGAAATACCTACTCCAGAAGCACCAGGGAGGAACTTGGTTGCAGTAATAGGACAAGGAAAAAACAGTTCCACTACAATTTTGGGACTTGATGGCTTCAGATAGCATGAGAAGCAGCAAGGGGAAAGTCCTAATGAACATGCAGGTATGTGCCATGTGTCAGGACATGGAAGCTTCAGGTCAGACCACTGCACGCTGTGCACACCCAATTCAAAGTGCCTTTGGAAGATGGGAAATCCTGGTGTTCCCTAATGTCGCTTTCATTCTCAACCTTTGCTCCCGATGGAGCAGCTGAGGGAGGAGGAGAGTGGTTTAGGGTATAAAAATCCTAATTTTGCTTTCATTCTAAAGCAGGTATATCCTTATATCATTTAATCCTTAAGAGAGGGTGTTTTTATGAGTAGGATTCTTGTATCCTTTTAATTGTAAAGCAAACAGATCCTTCTAATCCTAAAGCAAATATAACCTTATATCCTTCGGTATGTAAGAATCCTAATTTTTCTTTCATTATCAACCATTGCTTCATGTGAAGGGCTTAGGGAGGAGGAGAGTGGTTTGGTTTTGGTATATGGAAAGGAAGGAACAGAAGGAGATGTTGTAGCTCATGACATCAGGAGGCCGCTGTCATAGCCATACAAATAACTGTATATGACTATTGTGGCAGCCGGGGGGCCTGTGACCTTAAAGGCATCCTACTATGGGAGGAAGAGTGACTGAGGGCCCCTTTCCCGTGGATCACTCCCCTGTGTCCATTCCTAATGGAAGGACATCCCAGGGATCGGGTCTGAAACATGGGCAAAGAGTTTTCTGAGGAGGCCAGGTTCAGGTTCTACCATCCATCCTTTGGGGTATTTTAATGGCTGTGGGATTGCTAACATGAGCCAGATGGAGACTTCCCACCCACTTTGATGGAATTTGGAGCAGACCCAATGTGAGTGGGTCCTTATCAAGGGGGACAAAAGGGGAAAGCTTTTTGAGGTCTAAGTGGTCCAGAGAAGCAAGGATTGCTCAGACGAGATCCCCCTGGAATGAGCACATGGTTATTCCAGGCAAAAGCAATCTGTTATTTCCACTCCTGAACGTTTATTTGGGTCAGGGTGGGAAAATCCGATTGACTTGCCAAAATCCCACTGGGGTGGTAAAAATACAAATCCCACATATTATTATGTGTGTATTCTGAAAAGTGGTTAGTGACTGCGTTTATTGCATCTGGCCACTCGCAGGGAGTTACCCTCTCTCTGCCCCTTCCCCTAAATTCACATGCTTATACGTGAATGAGTCCTGCTGGGACCTATTAAACTGCTTTAGGGGGATGGAGATGGAGTGATCCTATACCCAGCTCCTCCCAGGGCTTCCAGCAGCACATCCTGCGGGGAGGAAACGTCTGTTGGCCCTACCTGGTGAGCCACTGCATGGATGTGGTGTGATGCTTTCCCAGCCCCAAAGGTGCATCATCTGCTCAAGGACCTGTTTCATGAGTCAGATGGAGACACCAAGGATGTGAATTGTTCACAGCATGATCCCTGGACCCTTATCTCCGAGAGGAGCAGGCTGTGTGTTTCATCCAGGTACCATTGAGTTTGACCTGTGATGGATCAAGTAAGGTGGAGGGCACAGAAGATGAGTGTTAGGAAGATGCTGTGACCTTTGCACTTCATTAGCAGGAGGATAGGTTGCTGTAAGGGTGGATGGAATAGGGTTCTGGACATGATTTATGTTTGGCTACTGGGAAAATGAAGGGGAGCTTTACCAACTATACGTGTGAAGACACACAGCATCTTAAATAACAGCAACTATCAATCCATCCCAAAAGCCAAGTGCTTTGTGCACAGCAGTGCTTCCAGACTCAGTTCTTGGCTCTCCCAGTTCTGGACAAGCAAAGGACAGCGAGAACCTATTGCAATTTTGGCAGCCCTAGGAATGGTTCAGATCCATGCTGCTCCAGCCCTCAAATCTCCATCCAAAAGCCACAGCTGCCCATTCCGGCACTGTTCCTGGATGCATCTTTCCACCAGAGGAAACCTCAGCTGGAGACGATGGCCTTCCTAACCTTCGTATCCAACAATTACACCTTGGGTTCTGGGTGTAACATAGGACAAACAGCGCATTCTGAGGCAGGGCCACTGTGGCTTTCAAAGTGAGATGTGAATCTGTTCTGTGACTCGTGTATCTTGATTTTATAGAGAGGGTTGGGATGTGCTTGCAGACAAAGTGGCCTCTGAGCTGGATGAAGAGTCCAAAATATCCCTCTTTTGGCTACTCAGAACTGCCAGTGGATTGGTGCCTCACATCCAAATGGTGTTTTCCAGCTCTACATTCCCAGCTCTGAGCCAGAGCCCTTCACTGTTGGCTTCTCAAGCCCCTCAACTGCCTTATAAGCTACAGTGGACCTTATTAATTTGAATCGGTGCCATCCCCTTCTCTCATTTAGCACTTACTGCAGGGAGCTTGGGTTATGTGCATGTCAGCATTGGGATGCTGTGAGCTCCTGCCTGATGCTGGCTGAACTCTGCTGCCTCTGCAGCCTGGGACTGGCCTGGCACTTTTCAGGCAGGAGGAAGGTACCTCTGGTGCTATCAGAAAGCATCAGCATTTGTGTCATAGCAACACCTCAGAGTCCTGCTGGGTTAAAACCACCGGCTTGAGTGACTGTGAAGGACACGCAAGCTCCTGCTCCTTAGGAAGGTTATGTCTATAGCCAGCATTTACCCCTCAAAGCGGCCCAAGGCAATGAGCAGTTCCTCATGTCTTCTATGAGCACAGCAGCCCCATCTCTAGCAATGCCCAGCAATCCAAGGTGAAAGAGGTGCCAAGATACAGATAAAAGGTGACCTTTGCATCCATGCTTGTAGCATCCATCGCAGACTGGTCCCTGCGTGTGAGCTGTTGGTGCTGAAACAAGACACAAACACCCCCCCCCTTACCCACCTGCATTGATGGTGCTGCATTTAGCTCACGTTCAACGTGCTCTGTGAAGCAGGGAAAGGCATAAAAGCAAAGGGAAGCCATCTCCCTGCCTGACCCTGGGCTCGCAGGACCCCATGGACTTGCCCCTTTTTCTTTGTGAGGCAACTGCTGGCATGCACGCTTCAGGATAACAGCTTTTACCAGGGAACTCTGGAATCCTTAGGAGGAGCAGAGAGGTAGAATAAAGCAGGTGCTGTGCAAAGGAGGCAGCAGAGCCCACAGAAGGAGAGGTCCCTTTGCAGGCAGATGGGAAATGCATGCTGCTAAAAGGGAAAGAGGGCTAGGGGAGGTTTGGTCCCACCGAGGTGGGGTTGGTTATGGAGCTCAGTGATCTGCATAGCTTGGGACTTCAGTGCACATCTCCATAGCGTTAGCTCAGGCACTTCCTTCCCCAGCCTCTGAGGGGTTGCTTGTTACTTGCATTGGCTTGTATGTTATTTGTGTTTGAGGCTAATTAAACACTGAGCTCAACCCCCTGATCACAAGGAGAGGGCTGAGCCCGTGAGCAGACCACAGTGGAGGATGCCACAGCCCCCAGGCTGACCCCACACCGCTGCGGACCCCCCGTTTGCAGCTAGGACATTATTTACTCCGATACCAGCAACGTTCTCTTGAAATATATCGAAGGAGAGATTGGGAAAATGAAGTGTATAAGATTTATCCTGCACTAGAGGATTTCAGCATCCAAGAACGCCAGAGCATCCAGTCCCTCAGACTTAATAGAAACCTCCTGCTTTATTAATATTGCCTTATTTATTATTTTCCCCCTTGTCCACAGGTCCTGGGCAGAAAGTCAAAGCTGTGTTTGAGGAGCCTTCCTGGAGGTTTTCATTAGTAACAAGGCCAGGGAATCCACTGCAAATGTAAAAATAATCGATTTGAGAGCCCTGAAAGGATGGAGAGTGACTCGCTGTGGAGATATTAAGGGAGAAAGTGGGAGTGGGAGGTTCCCATGGCTCAGTGTTGCCTAGCTGTGAGCTTTGAAAGCTGCCTGAAGGCCAAGGAGATGCTGAGCAGGAGGTAAGGTTGCCTCCGAGCGGCACTGAAAGGCAGTGCTGAGCACTGATCTTCCACTGCTGGGTATGCCTGAGCTTAGGAGTGTGTCAGGGTCCTTCTAGGGCTAAAGAGAAAGGGAATAGGTGGACAGAGAGCTCTTGTCAAGCAGATCTGCTCCTTGTTCACTTCTTGGAGATGAAGGTCCAGTGTGATGCTCACAGGAGGGACGCAACAGAAGGATGCTGCTTGATGCTGGACAAGGCAAGGAGTGTCCGGTTCTTGTGGGGATGCTGAGACCATGTCACCTCCTTCCAAGTGACTCCAGCAGCAGAACCAGTGCTGCTCCTGGGCCTCACAGCTGTTGCCTGGCCATGGTGTCACCTCCTCACACTGGTTTGCTGCACAGGAAGAAGGTGCCACCATGTCCGGACCAGTCCCTGGTGCCTGGAAAGGTGCAGGAAGAGCAGGAGACTGTTTCCCACCTTAGCACAGATGTGTCAGCCCCAGTGTCTGAGCAATTGTAATCTTGTGTATAACTCAGGCTGCAGTGTGGGAGCCCCATAGAGGCCTCAGGTACCACAGGCTCTTCAGGGGTACAGCCCCTTCTCCTTCCAGTACACCCATTTCTCCTGGCTTTTGTGGTACCAACTGCATGGATGTATTTTCCTGTGGGTTTTTGTCCTGCCAGCTCCATCTGAAGCTGTTTCTTAGCCCCAGCTCTGTCTGACACATGCCACCCTGTACGTCCCATGTGCTGCTGTACTCATATCCTTGCCTGCAATGACTGGATCTGGTCCAGTCCTCTTTTGCTGCAGCATCACTTCAGCACAAGACCATCCATCCCAGCACTGTCCTATGGGACCTGGATTTAAGCCCTGACAAGGAGGAAGAAAAAGCTGTAGTGGCATTCAAAACTGCTTCAGTTTGAATGGGAAAAGACCTTGGGGCAGGATCCCTCCTACATGTGGACCAGTCTCCATGCACCAGGCATCTGGGAGAGGACAGGGCTGTTGTGGTGCCAGGTAATGCTCTTCTGATACGCAGCAAGGCTTCTTCGAAGCTGCATGGTCTCAGGGTACAGGTTGGAGGGGTGTTTCATTTGGGCACTCCAGCAATGGTACTATTGATAAGCCTTATTTTGCAGAGCCAATATGAGAAACCCCGACAACCATCAGCATTCCCAAACCTGAATGTAGATGGATCCCTTCCAACCCAAACCAGGCTGAGATTGTGTTTAAGAGCCCCTTCAAGTTGCTTGAAGGGTTTGCACTCCCTGCTCCGCATCAAGTGGTAGGAATTGGGGAACAATCTGCTAAACTTCATCGCTTATACTGGTGGAAAATGGGTTTAAAATGGTACAGATCATTAGGAAAGGAGAATCACAGCCTTTCACTCCATGCCAGTCCTCCAGGTATGTGCAAAGAGAGGTTTGTATGGAAAGCAGAGCTCCTGTGAAAGAGCTAATGCACACAAGCAGTGGTCTTGCAGCCGGGGGACCTCTGGCCACCAGCCCTGTGGAGATAGAGGGAGGAAGAAGCGGGGTTTATGTACCAGCTGGGAAAAGGCGGCGGTGAACACGGATGCAGATGGAGACTGACTGCGGGGTCAGTTGCCAAACCAGCCTTGCTAGAGCTGCTGGTCAGACCCAGGAGCAGCCCTGCAGCCTGTTGGAGAAGCACTTCAGCTCCTACACGGCTCCTCCTTCGGTGCTTTTCAACAGCTCTGCGGCCCCCCCAAGCCCAGCCCACTGCGCTGGTGGGCCGAGGGGCTGGAGGCATTTTCCCAGCGCTCTAATCTAACAGCACCAGTGGGAATGTTTACAGCACGCTGCCACTTGAAGCCTTATCAGCCTCCTCCCCTATCTCCCACCGCCCCAGGCTGATAAACGGAGGGGCTGGTGGCACCCAGGGGAAGCACCCAGAGCAGGCGATGGAGCTGGGGACTGCTCAGGCACAAAGCCAGCAGGGCTGGGGTGCTCCTCCGGTGACCCCCGTTGTGGTGATGGGGATGTGGTGGAGGGGAAGCAGCAGAGTACATCTCTTCCCAAAGGAACGCTGCGAGCAAAGGGTTGTACTTGGGAGCAAGCAGTTTCCAGGCCTGGACCAAAGGAACATCCCATGGAAGAGAGACAGGGTACATTGTGGGAACAGGGAAATGCAGCCCCATAGAAATCAGAGGCACACCAGGGAGGGTGGCTCCAGTGTTTCCAAGCAAAGTGGAAACCTGCTGCTGGCACCTGCACCTTGGGCAGGTTTTCCTTAAATCAGCCTAATGAGCAGAGGAGAAAAGGCAGCTCACGTGGAGTTGGGCTCCCTGCTCTGCGCTGGAGCCATAGCTCTGAGATGGAAGAGCCTGGGAGCGTCTGATGTTCTGAACGCCGCATGGATGCTAAAGGTGCCTTCAACCACTCCCTTTCCTCACTTGCAGTGCTTTAACAGAGCAGAGAAGTTCAAAGAGACTTTCTTTCTCTCTCTCTAGATGTATTCAGGGAAGAAAGCTGCCCTGAAATGTCCCTGTGCCGCCCCCCTCCTTGGGCAGCATCCCTCGCAGCATCCCGCTGCAGCCGCTCCCGGAGTGGGACACTCCTCCATTGCCCTCTAGCGGCCCCCGGCCCGGGAAGGGGCTGCTCCCCTCCTCCAGCATCCCTGCAGCTCGGGTCCTCTCCCCTTCGATCCGTGTTCCCCCCCCCCCCCAGCAGCTCACCCGCTCGGCAGCCCCGTGTCCGTGGTACCCTGTAGGTGGGGTGGGTCGCGAGCAGCCGCGTTTGGGGGTGTTTTGGGTTGATTTTCACATGTTTTGGGGTGAAATAACAATGGCTCAGAGCCCCCGGGCATGGCTGATGTGTGCTGACCCCTCCCGTGGGTTGTTTCCCAGTCTGGGAGATGTTTTTCCCCAAGCAGAGAATCTCAGATTTGAGATTTTGGAGAATAATTGGGATAGGGAGTTTGTTCTGGGATATTCCCTAGGTTTGCAGTAAATGCATGTTCACAGAATCATTTGGGTTGGAAAAGACCTTTAAGATCATTGAGCCCAACCATTAACCCAGCACTGCCAAGGCCACCACTAACCCATGTCTCTGAGCACCCCATCTACAAGTCTGTTAAACACCTTCAGGGGTGGTGACCCCACCACTGCTCTGGGCAGCCTGTTCCAATGCTTGTCAACCCTTTTGGTGAAGAAATGTTTCCTAATCTCCAGTCTGAACCTCCCCTGGTGCAACTTGAGGCTGTTTCCTCTTGTCCTATCACTTGTTACTTGGGAGAAGGGACCAAGGTTTTAACCCATTCAAGATGAGAAGCGCTGTGTTTTGATGGTGCTCATCCCACATCCAAGAAACCTGGTGCTGCTTGTGACAGTGTGTCCAGGAGAGAGGTAGTGAGGCTGCACGGGAGCTGTGGCATCACTGTGTGAGCGTTCCCCCAACACATGGAACAGAGCAAACTGAGAGGCAAGCTCAGGGAATGGAGGGATATTTGTAACAGGAATGGACTTTGTGTAGCTCCTGGGATGGATGGAGGGCCCTCCCTCCATGGAGGACCTTGTGGAAGGCAGAAGAAAGGGGCTGGAGAATTATAAATCCCAGCCTGATTTGTGTTGGAAAGGACCTTAAAGCTTATCCAGCTCCAACCCCTGCCACAGGCAGGGACACCTTCCACTAGAGCAGCTTGCTCCAAGTCCTTTCCAATCTGGTTTGAATCACCATGTGTTTTCCAGGGTGCTGGAAGAGCCGTGCACAGCACCTTTACCCACCTTCCTCGACTGTCCCCCTTTATCTTAATACATAAGGACCTTTTGGAAACCAAAACTATCCTGCTCTTCCCAGTGTGTGCTCCCAAAGTGTCTTTCTGAAGTTAATCCATCCACTAGCAGAGCCCTGGGTTGGATGTTGCTATTCTGGTCCCTGCAGCAACAGGAGCTGTTTGTGTGACTTGTCAGGAGCTGCTTCATCGCAGACATGAGATCACAGTCTCATTTCTCAGTTATGGATAAATACATTCCTGCCAAGGCTGGAAACATGATGAAAGCATAAGTGAAGGCTTCCTGAGCCTGCTGACAGCCTGAAACACCATGTCCTTGGTGTGATCTGCTCGTTACAGTGGTCCCGAAGCTCCAGGCAGGGGGAGAAGATGCTGCAGGAGGATGAAACAGGATCATAGAATGGTTTGGGTTGGAAAGAACCCTATGATCATCCACTTCCAACCCTCTTCCATGGGCAGGGATATGTTGTCCTCACATCCTCTGCAGACCTGTCTGGAGGTGTTTGAGATCTTGGGCTCTTCCTCCAGCACTGGTCTGCTAGGATGGGAAGGGGCAGCGGTGCCAGCCTGCCATGCACTGGGACTATGGTCCCTGCACATCCCTTTGTGGTGCCTGATGCTGGAGGAGAGAGGGCATCAGATAAGACTTTAAAGAGTGGGGGATTTTTAATATGAAAGCAGCCCTAAGGAAAACTGTACTTTTTCTTCATTCCTGAGAAAAACAGAACATGGGAGATGAAATGGGAGCACATCAATGCACACAAACCGCAGCTTAGACCGTGACACCATGCACAGACAGCAGGCACATAAGACAGGTAAGAGGGAATGGCTTGCACAGAAGAAACCACAAGTGCAGAAAAGGGAGGAAAGAAGCCAAGGAAAAGGAAGTAATGCAGCAAAGTCAGGGACTAACAGAAAAAAAAAACCAAAGAACCAGTGCAATAATGGGGGAACCTGTGAGAAAGGGAGAGGAAAAGCTGTTTTGATTTGGCTTTTTCTTTCTCCATCACCTAAGCCTGTCCCCAGGTGACTTCAGGGTTTCATTATCTGGTTGTGTGACCCCCAGAAGAGTTTCCTGGCCCTGCACAGACCCCGGTGGCCACCACCACCTAGAGCCTCTGGCCCAGCAGCCAGGACAGGGGACCTGTTTCCACCCTGATCATCCCTTTTTGAGCCCTCCAGGCTGCAGAGTAAGAGCTGTTGGGGCTTCAGATGCTTCAGACTGCACCATAGGGGCCTGGGTGGTGTTTCCATTCCTTTCCTAGCAGGTGCTGCCCCTTAAATGCAGAATAGGGCACAGGAGCATCCCTTAAGGCTGATTTTGATTGCTGTCAGCAGTACCCTGGAGGCTCCAGTGGGTTTTGCAATCCAGCAGCAATCCCTTTCCATAAGCAGAGCAGACGGAATGGGGAAGTTTTGGTGATGCGATGAGGAGCTGGGTCCTGTCCACACCCTTTGCCTGTATCTCAACTTTTAGACCCCAGAGAGTACATGGCTGAGGAAGTCCCATTGCGGAGCCTGGTTTTCACCCCTCAGAAGATGAACTTGGTGAGATTCAAGCCTGTACTTTGTGCTTTCCAAAGAGAAATACTGAGAATCCACCTTTCCTCTCTGGGGCTCATCTTTTATGCCCTGCTCCCACCTGCAAGCAGCATCCTCCCCAGCATCCTCCCCAGCATCCTCCCCAGCATCCTCCCCAGCATCCTCCCCAGCATCCTCCCCAGCATCCTCCCCAGCATCCTCCCCAGCATCCTCCCCAGCATCCCAAGCCCTGGTACCCATGGGCTGCCCAAGCCTCTGCCCTGCAGACCCCTTCGTCCTTCCCAGCACTGAGGCTCAGTGAGGAGCCCTTGCCCTCAGAGACCCAGCAGCAGCAGCAGCTCCCTCCCAAAGCCCCCTTTGATGGCGTGCCAGCCCTTGGAGCATGGCTGAGGGCATCCCTCCTGCCTACAGGGCCAGGTGGGGCCTGTTAGCTGAGCCCTGCAGCACAAAAGGGGCTGTGTGGCTGCTGTTTGCCCTCTGGGAGCTGGGAGGAAACTTGGCAAGGAGGAAAAGCCTTTAGAAGCTACCGGGAAGACCGTTACTTATGTTCAGCTGCTCTTGAGGAGAGAATAAAGGGAAACTTGAGTGTGAGCAGGTAAGGCAGCAGTGATGTGGGCACTTCATTTGTTATCTGAGGATAGCAGCAAAGAGGATTTGTCTCTGTGTATCAATGTGTTTGGTTGTGCATAATTGTAGTTTATGTCTTAATAAGTTGCCTTTGTTGTCTGGGGGAGGTTGGTTCTGCCCAGCTGAGAAAGTACCTTTGGTTTCTGAGAGAGGAGGAGGATTTTGTCTGGAAACCCCTCACTTCAGCCATGTATTTTTAACGTGAATGTTTTTGGGTTATGGAGAAAAGAGGAAGATTAAAAACGCCTCCAAACTCTGTGCATAAGGGGGCATGGTGCACGCATCTGCACCCTGCAGCAGCCTGGAGAACAAAAAGGCTGCTGTTTGGGAAAGGAGGGAGAAATACAACGAGCTTAAAGGCACAGCACATGGAAAACCTGCTGTGAGCCCCATGGCCAGTGCTTCCCATGGAAAGGAAGGCTCTGCCCCTGTGATGCTGTTCCAGGGCTCAGGTAAGATGAAATTCCCTGGAGGTGGAAAGCCTTGCAGTGAGTTTATTCCCTGCTTGTGTCTCTCAAGAGTGAGGTCCTGGGTTCTTCCAGGCTTTGTGGGTCAGCGCAGGCTCTCTCCAGGCAAACAAGCAGGAAAACCTCCATCCTGAACCAACTGGGCAGGGCTGAGGCTTGCTGTGGTCCTGGACTGGGCTGGAAGAGCATCCTGCAGTGATGTGTGCCACCCATAGCACAGAGATGCCATTCAGAGCTGAGGCCAGGCAGGCCATGAATCTCAGTTTGGCTCTGGGTAATGCTCTTCCTGGTGGTCCAGCTCTCAGAGCCTTCTTGTGAGTGTTCCCAGCCTGAGAGAGGCACTTGCAGTTGTATGGTAAAGGACTGAGAGTGTCTTCTACAGCACCTCGCCACCACCTTTCACAGTCAGATGCATGAGGGATTTCACCTTGCTTATGTTGTCCCTTAGATCCACCAGCATCTCAAGAATCATAGAATCATTTAGGTTGGGGAAGACCCTTAAGATCATCAAGTCCAACCAAGAAAAGATTTAGGCCCCTCATAATGAAAGGCTATCTACCCCATAGCCTTCTGGGGAGGTCCCCTGTATTTTGCTGTCTCTGCATGGCTGGTCTTCATCTTGATGCTGATTCTTTGGCAAGATGGTAGGTCAGGAACCTCTGATCTGAAGAGCATTTTTGTGTTGGAGTTGCACAAAAGGTTGGACTTGATGATCTGAAAGCTCTTTCCCAACTTAGTTGATTCTGTGACTCTAAAAGTACTCTTCATCTGCTTGAGCTTCATCCTGTACTCAGCTGGGGGCTGATGCTCTCCCAACTGCTTGCTTCAGGCAGCACTAACCTCATCCTTGTGTGATGCTGAGAAAAGGCATCAGAGTCTGTCCATTGATTCAGCCCTTGGGAGTGACTTAAATTCCCACTACTCCAAGGGCAGCAGAGTGCTGGGAGCCAGAGCTGCTGGGAATGACTGGGTCCCCATGAAGAGCCTCC